TCAAAGGAAAAACGGCGCCGTGTGAATTGCGTTGCAGGGCAACATAAACGCTGCTGTTTGTAGTTACCCACAAATTTATTGCCTTCTTCACACAAAACCATTCCCTTTCTCTACGTTTCATTTATTATAAAATTAAATTGAATGCGGGACCATGCATATTGCTTGTAGTTTGAGCTTTGAGGGATAATCGTGTGTCATATCTCATGGGAATTACTTCCCCTTCTCATCCCAAAAATTAGCATCATCCTTGAAATAAAATTTAGACAATTTAAATTTTAATCTAAATAATCTAGATTTAAAATATTATTTTTTATTGTTTTTAATTTGATTTAAATTTAATTTAAAGGGTCTAATTTAATATTAAAATTTTTATAATTGATATATATTGATTATTCAGATATACTCTGCACAGTTTAGGACCATGTAGAATACATTTGAATAATCAATATACATTAATTATAAAAATTTTAATATTAAATTGGATCCTCTAAATTAAATCTTGATTATATTAAAAATAAAAAATTTATTAAAATTATTTTATAATTTTTATAAATTTTTTTAATAAATATAATATATAATAATTTTTTATTCAAATTTAATGTGGATCATCTAAATTAAAATTTAGATAGTCTATATCTCACCTAAAAAATGAGTAGATGGTGCTCATCTTTGAGATAAGCGTGAAAATTGAACCCACATCTCATCAAGGCAGAATTGGGTCATTTAGCATTTGAGCTAATGTTAACTTGGATCAAGCTTCATTTAATTATAAAAAGCTCATATAGTAATTTAGTATAAAATAATTTAAATCTTGAGGAATTAATTAATACTATATACTCCTTCTGTTAAAAAATTTAAGATATTTTTAATTGAATCTCACTCCCAATAAAGTAGTTATCCACTTTCAAACTAATCCTATCTTTTTATATTTACCTCTATTAAATACTCTACAATAAATATAAAATTATTATCAATAAGGACACTTTTAAAAAAAAGTAATGATTACATCTCGAAAGATTAAAAATATCTTATATTTTTAATATTCAACTCCTCAAAAAATGTCTTATATTTTTTAACAGAGAGAGTAATATATTCTCTCTACTTAAAAATATAAAGCATTTTTAATTGAGTGTGGGAACCTAGTTTCTATGATTAGTAAGGGGACAAGCACCATGATGCTCATCATTTGTTATAAGATTTGGACTATATAAATTTAATTTAGTTGGTCTAGATCAAAAACTTTTATTTAGTTTCATGTTATATTTATTAAATTTTTAAATTTATCAATACTTCTACTAAAGCCGTTGATTACTAATTTGAATAGCATAGATTTAATTTAGATGGATTAAGAATATCAAAAAATTTATATTTTTTATGAATAGACTATTTATATATGCTCTGAATAGTTTAAATTTTTTTTAAAAAAATTAAATTTAAATTTTATAAATATAATATTAAAAATAAAAATAATTTCCTAAAGGAAATTTCTAAAAGAATATTTTTGTTAAAAAAATTATAAGTTAAAGATGTTGAGGTTAAATTATTCAATGTAAATTTGGATAGTTGATTTATAAAAATTATAAAAAATTAATATTAAATTTTGATAATCTAAATTAAATCTAAACTTTTCATAAAAATGGTAAAAAATTATGAAGAAAATTTAATAAATTTTTTTATAATTTTTATAAAATTTTATTTTAATAAATTTAAAATAAAATAAAAGGAGACTATTTGATTTAATCTGAATGTTCTAGATACCATCAAGAGTGATAAACACTAGAACTGAATTCGTGAGTGGGTAGAGGATTCTTACCTCTTTTATCTCATCCTCTTCTATTCTTTTTCTCTTTTAACAATTAGTTCGAGATTTGGACTGTGCAAAATCCATTTCTTACAAAACTATTATTTAATTGCTAAATTATATGAAATAATAAATAATTCATCTTTTAAGCAGGTGGTCAACTATTCGAATCCGGGCCTTGTATCTATTCCAGTTTAATTACAAAAGGTGCGTCAATATCTTGGGACCCCTTTGTGTGAATCCTCAAAACAAATGAGGCTAGAGAAAACGTGGAAGGAAGTGAAGAAATGAAGTAACACCGGCTGGAGGGTCATGTTCATTGATTTTGGCATTTGCTTCATCTCTCATTTCTCACCTTAACATCAATGATTTACAAGCCTGATCCAATCAAACAATTAGAGCTTTGACCAAAGTCGTGGACTCAAAAAAATATTTTCACAATTGAGTTAGATTAAATTAAAGTTGACCTATTGTTGAGTGAGAAACTGAAGTTGAACCAAAAAACAAAACAATTTTAAACATAATATAAAAATATTTAAAAAATTTAAAAGTTAAATCATCCTAAAAACTAACTTTATTTTTAAACAATTCATATGTATAAAATATATTTTAAGACCATATTTTGTAACGATATTAACAATTATAAATATAAATATAGATATATTTGAGTATATATATATATATTTATATTTAATTTAATTAATATTTATTTATATTTGATAAGTTATAAAATTATAATTTATAGTGTTATTAATTCACATTTATTTTATTAGCATATTATAAAATTTTTTTTCATATATTCTTTTTATATAAACATTTAATATTATTTTTATTTAATTATTATATTATTAATTTGATCATTGATCTAAATTGGTTCGACCATGCAAATCTAAAATTGTACGTCCCAAGTCCAATGAAGCCCCGACGACGGTCGCCATTCACCTCATCTCCTTTGACATTCACTTCTTCTCTCAATTTCAATGCCCCCCTCCATTCTATACTCACGAGTCAAGCCCAGCCATTTCCCCATCAAAAATTCAAACCGTACTTGACAATTCCTTCCCTATCAACCTACGCGCAAACAAAATTATTATTATATACGCCTTTAAAAAGTTTGTTAATCTTAATAATCATCATTATGATTATATATTATAAAATATATCTAGCATGGGATGACCAGTAACTTACTTTTTTTTTTTTATTTTTTTATACTTGTAGAGGTTATTATATGGAACCCACAATAGTGAAAAGACTTTATAGTGACCTATCCCTTTACTGTTGTATATTAGTCATCTTCTAAAAGTATAATTTAATCTAACTTTTAAATTTTAGTTGAAGGTTATATTTAAAATTTTACTTACTTTTATTATAAAAATATTAATAATATTGATAAAAATAATTTATAAATAAAATTAAAGTGAGTATATTGTAAAATATCTCATCCAATGTAGATATGTGGTGGGATGCACATTAGCTTATTTTTTTCAAAATATTTTATACTTTTAGATATTATTAGGGGGCGCTTGCAATAACGTAAGGTTTATAGTAAAAAAATAATAATAAATGTGAGACCCGTAATAAAAATATTATGTGCGAAATCCTATCCTTTGGTCCTTATAAATTTTATATGTATAAGATAATAATGTAAAAACTAGAAAGTGCTTGTCCCACCATAAATCTACAGTGGGATCAACGGTAATTTTTTTAAAGTTTCTAAATTTTGAAAGATCAATTATAGAGGGACGGTAAAAAAATTAAAATTAATTATACAGACAGAATTTAATAGTAAAATTATTTTTTAATTTAATTTCAAAATTTTCCTCATATTGGTTAAAAGAAGAATACAAGTAAGAAAGAATAGAATGTTATTTAAAATAAAATAAGTTATTATTTATATCTTTAATATGTACAAGCAGCATAAAATTTAAAATAAAATAAGTTTTTATTTAGATTTAATTTAAATAAGTAAAAAAATTTAATTCTAAGTAGACTCAGATAAATTATTTTTTATCTTTTAATTTTTATTTTATTTTTATATTTTAAATATTAAAATATCCTTTTTTCAAATTATATTTAAAATTTTAAAAATTACATGTCTTTGTGATTAATCCTTATTTTTTTCCTAATAAATGATGATTAAGAAAAGATATTATAAATTATAATTATAAATACTTCTTAAAAGTTGTTATTTTACTTATAACAAACAAGAAATCATATAAAATTTTTTCTTATATTTAAAAAGAAAGGGAGTATTTTCAATGAGGACTCGTATATCATGCTACAAAGGAGCCCTCGTATTATTCCTTAAAGTCATATTTGGTATCACTGAATTGACAAGTTAAAAATAAAATTAAAAGATGAAATTTTAATTTAAGCATGATTGGTATGCATAATTGGTATGCAGGAGTTGCAATTCTTAAAAATTTTAATTTCACCAAAAATGTTAAAATTTAATTTCATCATATTGATCATAGAATTGCTTTAATTTTTTTGAATTCATTTTGTGAACCCCATTACCCTCATCTTTTTTGTTCATTTATGATAAGGTAGGTCTTTTTAATTTTAAGAAAAAAGAGCAATTTGATTTTTTTTATTTTAAGTACATATGTAAATTAATATTATATTAAAATTTTATTTTTATATCAAATACACCTTTAACACTCAATTCTATTTTAAATTCAAATTCAATTTTAATTTTAATTTTATTAAAAATTCTCTCGTCATAACAAACGAGGACTAAATTTTACCTCTAATCTCATGACATTTTTAATGTACCGAACCTGATGACCCATGTTCTTAAATATTTACCGATCAATGTTGTCAAGCAATTATGCAAGGAAATTGCAACATGAAAAATAAACGAAGTCTGTAGCGATTGTCTCCTCTCTCAAAATACGCAACCCAACAACTCATGTTTCCAGAACACATCGACAACAGCAAGGTCTGAATAGTGAATACGCCGCGTAAGGAATACACTTGAATATTCAAGGAGCCTGGTTAAAACCCAGCGGGAATCATGGTGAAAGAAAAAGGAACCGGAGAAGAAAAGGAAAATCTTAACGCGGAGATATAAAAGGAAAGGGAGGCACGTGAAAAACAAGAATATTCCGCAGTTAAAAAGGAGATTCTCTTCCCACAGATTTTTACTCCACACGGGCAGTCCAATGCTCGCATTAAATACGGAGTCTCTGCCCCTCCCGTCCCCTCCATCCCCAACATCTCTCTTCTCTCCCTCTCACCGCGCTCTTCTGTTTCCTTCTTTTTCTGTCATATACGCGAAATCCCGCAAGCTTCACCTGTTCACCATCAATATGATATGATTTTCTCCCTCAATTGCTACGCGTAATTTCCTCTCCTGTGCTCTGCGACTCTGTTTCTTCATGTTCTCCATAAGCTTCTGAACGTCAAGACCGAGAAAATCGCTCTGGCCTCTCTCAGGTACATGTAGCTTCATATCTGTGCTTGCTTCTTTTTTTGGTCCCACTTCATTTGCTGCTTCTTGACGGTGGGTTGGATGGATATTTCGTCCTCAATTTGATGCCTCTGTCATGTTCTTCTTAATTATTCTCCCAAAGTTCCAAGGTTCCGGTTTTCTTTTTCAAGAATACGGATTCATTATGAAATACAAGGTTCAAAGATTTGTTGAATAGACAGTCTTTTCTGTTTGATTGATTCTTCGTGAAATGCCTCTCACAATTTGTAGTTTATTGTTATGCTTTTCAACTTCTGCGTTTAGTTAGCCTTCCTTCTTCGTTATCATTGAACTCCCAGAATCTGAATTTCAATTTGCATTTTTATGATGATATCCAGTCCTGTTTTACCATGTGAAGATATCTTCTGTAAGATTTATTTATTTTTTGTGTGTCTTGTATCCTCTGACTCTTCTCTCTAGTACAATTACAAGTGTGGTGATCCTATAGTCTATCGTTTTACTTTCTTTGTTCCTACGTTTCTTCTCTCTTCATTCTTCTTTATAAATTTCTTTGATTTACATAATGTAAGATTTACTTTCTTTGATCCTATAACATTATTATAAATTTCACCTTAATTTATTTTTTTTACACGAATTATTTATACATCTAACTTTATTTAATCATTTTTCACACAAAGACAATATTTCAGTCAGTTTCTTAATCTTATTTAAGTGTCGACAAGACGTGTGTAGTGAAATTTTAAAATTTTAAAGATTTAAATTAAAATTAAATTGGGTCAAGCTACCCGCTTAAATCTTCCATTTGATCTTTGTGGATTGTGGTTCCGTCATTCATTTTGAAATAATAATGATAATAATTTCTATTCCCCGCGAGTGGTTGTTTCCTTCATTGACTCAGCGGAAGACTTGCTGTGCCTCGTTTGGTCATTTCAGACCCTGTTGTGTGGTCCCCCAAGTTTGAAACCTCTCTTATTCTGATTCACTGTGGATAATATAGCTGCATGTCTTTTTCTTCTTGTTATTACGTCAATCCTTAACCTCAAAGCTGAATTCCATTCACATCTTTTTATGGTTTAACCCGTGCTTTGACTTTTCTCTCAAAGCCTACTTTCTTTTTTTATTATTTATCCATCTTCCCTTCTGTCGGATATTTCAGGTGAAGGCACGCAAGTGAAGAGAAACTTGGTGAGAAAAGCTAGGCAATCATGGCAGGAGATCAGCTTAAGGTTCTTAATGCACTTGATGTTGCAAAAACACAATGGTACCATTTCACAGCAATTGTGATTGCGGGGATGGGTTTCTTCACCGACGCCTATGATCTTTTCTGCATCTCTCTCGTGACCAAACTGATCGGTCGCCTCTATTACTTTGATCCAAACTCCAAAAGCCCTGGCTCACTTCCTTCCAACGTTTCTTCTGCCATCAATGGAGTGGCATTCTGTGGTACCCTTTCAGGCCAGCTCTTTTTCGGGTGGCTCGGAGACAAAATGGGAAGGAAACGAGTCTACGGGATGACTCTCATGCTCATGGTGATTTGTTCGATTGCCTCGGGCCTCTCTTTTGGTAAAGAACGAAAAGCTGTCATGGCCACACTTTGCTTCTTCCGTTTCTGGCTTGGATTCGGCATTGGTGGGGACTACCCTCTCTCGGCCACCATCATGTCTGAGTACGCCAACAAGAAGACTCGAGGGGCTTTCATTGCTGCGGTCTTTGCCATGCAAGGTTTTGGTATTTTAGCTGGGGGCATGGTTGCTATTATAGTTTCAGCGGCTTTCAAAGCTATATACCCTGCACCATCATATCGTGACAACCCATCTTTATCCACAGTCCCGCAAGCTGATTATGCCTGGAGGATAATTTTGATGTTCGGTGCCTTGCCTGCTGTGCTCACATACTATTGGCGGATGAAGATGCCCGAGACTGCCAGATACACTGCCTTGGTTGCCAAGAATGCCAAGCAGGCTGCTTCAGACATGTCAAAGGTGTTGCAGGTTCAGATTGAAGCTGAACAGGAGAAAATTGAGGAGTTTGAGAGACAGAGAGGGAATGATTTTGGGCTGTTCTCGAAAAAGTTCCTTCGCCGGCACGGCCTTCACTTGCTTGGAACCACCAGCACTTGGTTTCTTCTGGACATAGCGTTCTACAGCCAGAACCTGTTCCAGAAAGACATTTTCTCTGCCATAGGCTGGATTCCAGAAGCTAATACCATGAGTGCCTTGGAAGAAGTTTACAGAATTGGCAGAGCTCAGACTCTCATAGCTCTGTGCAGCACCGTCCCTGGCTACTGGTTCACAGTGGCTCTCATAGACAGGATTGGAAGGTTTGCCATCCAACTGATGGGCTTTTTCTTCATGACCGTGTTCATGTTTGCCCTGGCCATTCCTTACCATCACTGGACCTTGCGGAACAACAGGATTGGGTTTGTTGTGATGTACTCATTGACCTTCTTCTTCGCCAATTTCGGTCCAAATGCCACCACTTTCGTGGTTCCGGCCGAGATTTTCCCGGCGAGGCTAAGGTCAACCTGCCATGGCATCTCGGCGGCAGCCGGGAAGGCCGGGGCTATAGTAGGTACTTTTGGCTTTGTTTATGCCGCAAAGGAGTATGGGGTGAGGAAAACTCTAATAGCTTTAGGCGTGGTGAACCTCTTGGGGTTGCTGTTTACGTTCTTGGTGCCAGAAACTAAAGGAAGATCACTCGAAGACATGTCTGGGGAAGGCGAGGAAGAGGCTTCCACTACCACTGGTCCTGATGCTAGAACTGTTCCCTTCTAATTACTCAACAGTCCAGTTTCCTAGTATAACCATAGGTTCAATAGTATTTTGCTATTTTTATTATAGATTTCTGCCTTCACTTGCTGCTTGGGAGGAATAATCTGTTTTGATACTGCCCCATGTTGCTGTCTCTGATGCAAACCATCTTGAGATAAGTAGATACAGTTTGAGCTGTTTCAGTTCCTCGTCTTGCTCTTGCAAAGTTCAGGCCTTTAATATATATTTATAAAAGAAACGTTACAAAATTTACTGCGTTTTCTGTCGATTTTGTGCACATAGTTTCTGATAATGCATGATAAAATTGTTGAGCTTGCCGTGTGATTTCTGTATGAGGTTGTGAGGAATCTGAGGAAGGGGGGAAGAATGCGAGTCATTTCACAGTTGGCATGCCTTTGTTTCCAAATTGAGGTACACGTGTGAACGAGATATTTTTCAGCGGCGTTTAGTAAATTCAAGCATGTTTGTGTCCTAGAAGGGGTGGTTTTTTGGCCAAAAAAAAAAAAAAAAGAAGGGGTGGTTTGCTTTAGAGTAAAGTAAGAGGGGCCCTTTCATATTGAATTGTATTCCTACATTTTACAGGACTTGCTGTCACGGACAGTAATTACACATGCCAATCATTACAGCCGCGTTGATGGCCACCGTCAATTATTACCCCAAATTCATCAAATAATTGGCAATCTGAGACTCACGCAGGCAGGCATTAAGCAACGTGCAAGGGGCACAATGGGAGGCGAAACTTTATATTACTGGTGAAATGAAAAGTAGGAGAAAATGCAAATGAATTGAGCACTTGAAAAATAGTTTCGTTTTTTCTTTGGATTGAATGAAAAAGTTGGGGCATCTTCGGGTGAATTGGGTTCCATTAGATTTGGATGCGTGGGAGTCAAAATCAAGCAAATGGACCCCAACAGATTGTGACTCCCCACCCAAATGGGGGTCCAGTCCATCTTCGTGCTCATCACCCACGTGTTCATAAGTGTGATGTGCTAACGACTGCAATGATATCTGGATTATTTTGATTTTGACATGGATAGTGCATTGGGAACAATGCTTAAAATTTTTAACTTGTAATTATTTTAAAAATATTTTTTTAAAAATTCCAGTTTTATATATTTCAATTTTTTAATATTCTATTTATCAAAATAAAAATTTATAAAAAATTGTAATAATTTTTTTTATAATTTTTATTTTAAAAAATATAAAATAATGCTTTGAATCTGGACAATTTAAATCAAAATCTAGATAATCCAAATCCCATCATTTAATGAGCATGATGAACACTGAAGTTGAGTTCCTAAATGAGGAATGGGCTTTGCTGGAAAATATCTCACAATTTTCAATTTATATCCTACAAAATAAAATTAATTTTTTGTTGGTCTATAATTCAAAAGGTCGTAGGATCAAATTTTATTAACAATACAGGATCTGGATCTTATTAGTAGACGATTTATAAGTATATGTATAAGTGTTTTTTGAGTTCAGAAACATGCTTTGATCCTGATGAGTTTCTGAGATTAAACTTACCTAAACTTTTCTTTGTAAAGAAAATATATTCCTACCAAATAAAATTGATTATGTTTTCTTTTGACATACTGGCTCAAAAATTCAGAATGTATTATTGGGCTTGAGTGAAAGCAGCATAGTTAACTAAAGGCCGAAACTATAAGGCCAGTAGGCATTGGGCCTAAAAGACCCTGAACTGGGCTTGATTGCAATCTTATTTAACCATCAGGAATTGAGTGGGGTCAATGATGAAAAAGCTGCAAGTGACATGATTAAAAACTGTTCATCGTTTTCATTTACACTCCCTCCTCTCCCTGCTCCTGACCGACAACTTTTGTCATCCTCCTCCCTCGTCGTCGTCGTCGTCGTCGTCGTCGTCGTAATGTATCTTAAAAATATTTCATTAAAGATTTCAAAATATTTAATTTTATTAATTGAAATCATTCCAAAAAAGATCAAAATTGTAAATTTGTTCTCATTATCTACTTGTTTACCCTCACTCGCCAGTCTCCTCCCAGTTAAAAGAATCTTAAATAGTTATGGTAATATTTAAATATTTTTGACAAGATATTAAAATTAACAAACATAAATTATACTAAAAGAATAAAACACAAAGTAAAATAAATTATATTGACTAATTCATCTCTCATTTATATTCAATTCTTGATTCTTTAAATTTTTTGTATAAGCATATTTTGAAATATTATTTTAATCAAAATAGATATTTAAATTATTTTAGACTCTCGAATGTAGTATGGTTTATCTTGAGGTGCTTACCATTGGGAGCCGAAAAGGAAGGCGCAGAAGAGATTTAGGAAAACCTTGTGGGTCCATATTACACAGTACGAGAAGGGCATTTATATGAGTGATGTATCTGCCTTGATGAAAATGAATGTATTTAAGGAGGCAAGTAAATGAAAATGGCGACCTCGCACGCGACGCGACGCTTCCCATGAATCCATGAAATCTAACTTCAACGCCGTAGGTGACCATATAATCATGGCCATTGATCTGCACCATATCAACCTTCCAACATCAGCAGATAAATATACATAGATTCCTACACCAAAAAGTCCAAAACAATTACTCACTCCTTTCCTATATTTATTGTAGTTCATCATCTACTAGTTTTTCATATTCTTGTTTATAAGCCATTTTGTAAAATCTATGCAACAATTTTAATAGTGCTATTGATACGGGTATTGTTAAATAATTATTTGATCAAGATAATATCGGGGAGAGATGACAAAAAATTTCAAACTTTTATTCAAGGGAGGGAGTGATAAGCAACCAAATTACCAAAATTCAGAAAAGCTACGGGGCATTTTAGCTGGCAAGTGTCGAATAAGTGAAGGATAGAGAAGCAGAGAACATCCTTAACAACAAACGCTAGTCCTCATTTGGCTAAGTTAAGAGCAAGGGTGAGCAAAATCGGTCACATGCAGCAAGTCAATTCAATAAAAATTAAATAAACCGATCATTAGAAGGGCTTGATTTGATTTTATAAATTTAAAAATTAAATGGTTTGATTCAGGTTTTGATTTTTTCTTTGAAACCTTAACCAAACTTGAACCATATCTATTATATTTTTAAGTATATTTTTTATAATTAATATTAGATTATTAGTGTTCTTTTTTATATAAAAAAATTAACTTTAACTGAAGCTTAACCCAAACTCAAAATACTTTAATAGAATCATTAACCCCTTCCCTTCTCAATTTTGTTATTAGAGAGTCAAATCCATAGTGTACTTTTATCACTTCAAGAATTCCTTTCTTTTGATTTAAAATGAGTTATTTTTTATTATAATCTGCAAGATAATTTGTATTGAAATTTAACTAGTATTACTTTCAAATGCATATAAGACCTAGTATTTATTGATTATAAAATTTGAATATTTTTATTGTAGATATAATATTTATTTTCATTCATGAATGATAAAATTGAGAATGTAACTTGAAATTGAAATATAAAAGGAAAAAAAGAATAACAAATTATGCTTAACTTTGATATATGATTTTATATGTGAAAAAAAAATAAAAACTTAATCCACGTATAAGTCAAACTGAATCAACCTACCTAAAAATCAAACCAAACCAATTTCAATTAAAAATGGATCAAATGTCATTTTTTATGTAAATTGATTTGTTTGGTTTGGTTCATATTTTGATTAAAACTAAATTAAATCACACCTTTGATTGCTCTTAGTTAAGAGTAGGTATGGTCCGTTTGGAGGATGAAGAGCAATAAGTGAAGGCAATGTAAATGGCTGAAGCTGAACAGTTAACTTCATGCCACAAAGCCCCAAGGCTATTGGCTATCTTGAGATTTTTTTTTTTTTCCCGCTTCAAAGAGTACTTGAAATCCAACTAGAAAGGCAATCCAAAAAATATGGAGTACTCTTACTAGTCATGCTTGTAAGGGAAAAAAAAAAGTTTCTTTTATTGTTTAGAAGTCGTGCTATAAATTTTTCATCGCAAATTTACTATTTTTTTCATTAAATATTTGTAGGAGAATGTATATTATTAAAATATGTATATCTAATAAAAATAAAATTTATAAAATTATTAAATTTTAAAATACAATTAATAAATTTTAAAAATTTTTAATTTCAAATAAATATTTAAAGTGATTTCTAAATAAAAGTGAGGCATGAAATAAACCAGCAGGCAAGGAAGCAACTACATGACAGTATGACTGCGTTGGTGTTCTTTCTCAGATGCCGCGTCTACCCTCTCCCCTACCAGTCCACCACTAACTATTTGACAACTTCATTAAAATCTTTGTCACTATGCCCTTATTTATTTTGACAACTTTAAATAGAACAATATTTTGTTGGCATTAAATACGGAACCTTTCCCCCCTCGTCTTCCCACTGATGCCTACACAAATTTCTGTTCCCTTCTCTCTAGTTTCTGACTCCATCTTAGCTCAAAACTTCCCTTTGTTTTTCTGTCAAGGACGCGAAATACAAAATAAAACATCTGTTAAATGGACAATCTTTTCCCGTTTGATTGAGTATTCGGGATCCGGAAATGCTTCTCACTCTTTATTGTTAGGCTCTTCAATTTCTGGGTTTATCTGGCTTTCCTTTTCGTTTTCATATGACTCTCAGAAACTAATTTTCAATTTGGATGACATTATCCACTTCTGTTTAACCATGCGAAGATATCTTCCGTAATATCTGAAAGATTTACATACCTTTCCTTCTGTCATGTTACGTGTATCCTCTGATTTTGCTCTAACTTGGTCTATCTATTCTTCGAGTCATCATATTTTATTATCTGAAGCATGGATTTGTTAAAAAAAAAAAAATTCAAAATCTGCGTCAAATATTTTTACATGCTCGGGAAAACAGAAAGCAATAGTGAGCTCGTGTGCTCCCGAAATCAATTCGGTGCTAATAATAGTGATCAGCTACGTGCGGGGGCGGAACCACGTTGACATCTCCCCAAGGTTCCACCCTTTCAGATACATGTAGATATATATATTTGCATTCCAAATTTTTTTTGCCAAGTCCACCCACTAAATATATATATATATATATATATAGAGAGAGAGAGAGAGAGTATTTGAAACCTGGGTAATTCTCCATCTTCTTCTTTTTATATTTAGGTAACTCCAAGTTTTTTTTTTTGAACAAAAAAGTTTTGAAACAAATTATGCAGGGAAAATTTGGTTTAAGATCTATTAACCACAATTAATTAAAAAAAGAGCTCCTTAAACTTTGAAACTTCACTTCAGTTCAAGGATAATGAAG